TTAACATCAAAACACCCACACAATGAAGGCTATCAATTTAACTGGGATAATATAACTATAGTAGCCCAAACCAAACATAGACACACATAGGAATTCCTAGAGGCATGGCTGTCCACCCATAATGCAATCAACAAACATATAGATTTGGACCCCATATATAGCCCCATACAGAACAAAACAGGAAATGACACTATTCACCATAACAGACCAAACAGTATAAATTCCAAGCGGAGTAGAATAATATTGCTTCATCGGAGGTTCCACTGATGTTACTTAGCACGGTGACGAACCGTCTGAACGAGAACAAGCCAGCTCAGCGAGGAAGGCAACAACCGCAGTTCGGGACAGGTGACAAATGTTGGCGTTGCCAGTGGTGCCCTGGAGGAGGGAATGGCCTGGTGGAGTGTGACATGGGGTAGAAGAGGCACAAACCTGACTTCCTTGTCAGCTTCTCATGGTGGCTTATCTTTCAGATGAAATCCAGAACTTCCTCGCCTCGATTCAAGACACGGCGGCCGTCTCAAGTCAAAGGAAAAATGAAGGTGGGATTGTCGCAACTTCCAAGAGGGTTCCTGATGGGAATGAGTGCAGTCTGATCGAGGAGGATCTCTACACTGACCAACCAACCAATCTGTGCCCGGGCGATGGCACTGACAGAGCAGAGGGTGAGCCTTCAGCTGGAGCTGATACTAAGATGCATCAGGATAAAGATGGAAGCAAGGCTGAGGAGGCAGCAGCGGGTATAGAGGGTTCTGGGGTGGCAGCTGTACCAGACCAAGATATGGATGATGCTGAGCTGTGCCTTGCTCTGCAGTACTCCATGGAGAGCAGGTACCAGCTGACAGAGGAGGATGAGGAACTTCAGAAAGTCCTTCAACTTTCCAAAGAGATGGCCGCAGGCCAACAGGAAGACAGTCCGGAACTTTCTGCCGGGGCGTTCCACGGTGAGAGCTCAGAGGCCGGCCTTGAGGAAGCGATCAGGATGTCCATGGCGGAGGCTGTGCAGAGCTCCAATTCCGCGCAGCTGATGGTCTGCGCCGACAGCGACGAGGACATCGACCGATTGGTGAATGAGTTAGAGAGGAGCGTCCGCTCCCATCTCCGTGAGGAGGTGATGAGGCACCAATGTTTCCGGAACTTGAGCAAAGATTACGCTAACTACTTGGAATATCTCCAACGGAAACACGCTGTGGCCATCACCCTTGAGGGCACGGAGGTCAGGGTTCACGGGTTTGCAGATTACACCATCGATGCCAAACAGGACATTGCCCGTCTCATGCACTGGGCCGCCCAGGATGAAATGGCAAAGGTGGAGGAAATGACAGTCGCAAGGTCTGTCCAGTGGGTGAGGCACTGTCGAAGTGCTGAAACCATGCCCTACTCTCTAAAAGCATGTACGTTCATAGAGAGAGCATTTCAACAGAAGGAGAAGAGAGTCGATGTGGTCTTTGATAACAAACCTTACACCATTGACTTTGAGCGAATGGAGGAATATAACTTGGGAGCGGCAGAAACTGTTCCAATTGAGAGGAAGCTTCTCTACCTCCCAGATGGTAAGCGTTATTTTCCGCACCAGAGGTGTTTGGATGCAAGAAGCTGATGTAGTTGATTAGCCCTGCTCTGCTGGTGGCCATGTTTACAAATTCTGTCCTTCCAGTGCCTGAAGGAAAAAGAAATGGGCCTTTGACTTGCTGCTGACTACGGCATGTTCATCCCTCCCCTTCATACTCGCCTCAACCCTGTCGCTAGGAGAGATGGTATTAGAAAGATCGAAAATAGGAACAGCAGGAGGCCATTCAGCCCTTCCAGACTGTCCCGCCATTCAATATGATCATGGCTGATCATCCAACTCCGTTCCCTGTTCCTGCTTTCTCCTCATTCCCTTTGATCCCTTTAGCCCTAAGAACTTTATCTAACTCCTTCTTGAAAATATTCAAAGTTTTGGCCTCAACTGCTTTCTATGTCAGAGAATTCCACTGTCTGGGTGAAGACGTTTCTCCTCATCTCTGTTCGAAGTTACCTACTCTGTATCCTTAGACTGTGACCCCCTCGCTCTGGACTCCCCAGTCATTGGCCACGTCCTTCCTGTGTTTACCCTGTCTAGTCCTGTTACAATTTTATATGTTTCTACATGTGATTCCCTCTTCCCCCCTCATTATTTTAAACTCCAGTCCTAACCCGATCCAGTCTCTCCACTTAATGTGAATCCCATCATCCAGAATCTGTCTGTAACGCCATCAGAAATAGGGGCAGGCCATTCGGCCTCTTGAACCTGCTCTTGCCCTTTTCCCTGTAACCCTCAATTCCCCAACTCATCAAAAATCTACCTCAGCCTTAAACACAAACGCATACAAGGACTCTGCCTCCACAGCTCTCTGTGGCAAGGAGTTCCAAAGACTCATCACCCTCCGAGAGAAGAAATTTCTCCTTACCTCAGTCTTAAAATGGCATCCCTTTATTCTGAGACTGTGCCCTCTGGCCCTAGACTGTCCCATGAGGGGAAACATCCTCTCGGCATTTACTCTTGTCAAGCCCCTTAAGAAATCGATATGTTTCGATGAGATCACCCCTCATTTTCCAGTGGCAAGTATTTAGCCAACCTGTTTAACCTTTAATCATAAAACGATGTCTCCATGCCAGGGATCAGCCTAGTGAACCTTCTCTGAACTGCCCGCAATGAAGTGGTATCTTTCCTTAAATAAGGGACCAAAATTGCTCACAGTACTCCACATGTGGTCTCACCAGCACCTTGTACAGTTGCAATAAGACTTCCCGACTCTTATACTCCAAATCCCCTTTAAATAAGTGACACATCCAAACTCCGAAACACTCTCAATTCCCACCAGATGGCGCCTGCGCATTAATTTTGAAGCAAAGACTTGCATTTATTTTATGATTGCTTTTACATATTTAGTTCGGAAGAAGAGCCATATCAGTTTCAAAGTTAACTCTGTTTCTCTCCCGGCAGATCCTGCCAGACCTGCTGAGTTTCTCCGGCGTTCTCTGTGCTAGGTTTACATTTACAGTGTACGTATTTTAAATGCATTTATTCCTCACCTTTTCCAACCCTCAGGATATTGGAAAACAACTCACAGCCAATAGCATAATGTTGCAACGTAGTTAAAGCAGGAATCGTAAGGATACACGTGAGCATGCAAGTTAGGATCAGAAGCCGGCCTTTTAATGAGGTCAGGGCTGATCATTTGTAGCCTCCTCCACACTTTGCCATTTACCAAAGACCCACTGATTCCCTTCATCATTGTAATGTTGTCTATCCCCGTACTCAGATGATCTCTGCCTCCACCAACTCTCTCTCGGGGACGACAGCAGGTTATAGAGCCATAGAGACATACAGCACGGAAACAGACCCTTCGGTCCAACCCGTCCATGTTGACCGGATATCCTAAATTAACCTGGTCCCATTGGCCAGCATTTGGCCCATATCCCTCTAAAGCTCTCCTGGATGGCCCAGATGCCTTTTAAACGTTGTAATTGTACCAGCCTCCACCACTTCTTCCTCTGGCAGCTTGTCAGTACAACCACCACCCTCTGAGAGAAACGAGAACTCCTCCAGCTCTCGGCCTGAAATGAGTGGCCCCGTATTTGTAAACGGTGACCCCATGTTCCCGTTTCTCCCACACGGGGAAGCGTCCTCTCCAGATCTCACGTTTCGATCAAACCACCCACTGAACTGCTTCTGATGCTAGTGGCATTGTGGGTCAACCCACAGCAGGAGGACTGCAGCGGTTCAAGAAGGCAGCTCACCCCCACTTTCTTAAGGGGCAACTAGGGGCGGGTGAGAAATGCTGGGCCCAGCCAGCGACACCCACATCCCACAAAAATGAATCGAGGGGAAAAAAAATTATATTCTCTCTTTTTTTATTTTTGAACTACTTACACTGAGGCAGTGCCCCTGTGTGTGGTCTCACCAAGACCATGCCCAGCCTGAGCAAACTCCGAGGTGCCACCCTGTAGACTGTAACATTGTGACCATGGCATTGATTACGAACAGTTCTGGGCCCTGTATCTAAGTAAGGACGAGCTGGTTTTGGAGGCAGTCCACACGAGGTTTAGAATTAGAATTAGGTTTTCTTTTTAAGTCACATGTGCACAAGTGGAAAGTTTACAATGCCACCCCTAGTTATATTACCTGACAGTGATTCATAGTACAAGTTGGAAATAAGATGTAGTTAAAAGGGTAAACATGACAGAAAGATAAACAGGCTACAGGTAAACTTACATTGCAGTAGATCAGCACAGGGGCTTCTACATGAGGGTCTAGTGGACCTCGCAAGCCGCTGACCCCCTGTGCCAGACCCTCAGTCAGTCCAGTCTGATCTCCATCGCCGCTCCGCTCCACGCCTCAGTCCACTCCATTCCGGTTCAATAATCCCAGCAACAAAGGCCCTTGTCATATGAGGAACGTTTGAGCACTCTGGGTCTGTACTCGATGGAGTTTAGAAGGATGAGTGGGGGTGGGGGGGGGATCTGTTTGAAACTTACAGAATACTGAGGGGCCTGGATAGAGCGGACGTGAAGAAGATGCTTTCACTAGTAGGAGAGACTGGGACCTGAGGGCACAGCCTCAGGGTGAAGGGATGACCCTTTAGAACTGAGGTGGGGGGGGTTTTCATTGGCCAGAGGGAGGTGAATCTGTGGAACTCATTACCACAGAGGGCTGTGGAGACTAAGTCATTGAGTGTATTTAAGGCAGAGATAGATGGGTACTTGATTGCTAAGGGGATCAAGGTTTACAGGGAGGCGGCAGGAGAATGGGGTTAAGAAATATATCAGCTATGATCAAATGGTGGAACAGAGTCGATGGGTTGAATGGCCTAATGCTGCTCCTATATCTCATGGTGTTATGGCCAGATCCTCTGCTTTAGAACTTAGAACAGTACAGAACAGAACAGGCCCTTTGGCTCACCATGTCTGTGCTGACCATGATGCCATTCTAAACTTAATTCTATCTCCATACCTGTTCCCATATCTGTCTAAATGCCTCTTAAACATTTGCTGTTGTATCTGCTTCTACCACCTCCCCCGGTAGTGCATTCCAGACAGCTATCATCCTCTGTGTTTTTAAAAACAGCTTTTTTTTTTGTACGTCTCCTTTTAAACTTCTCCCCTTTCACCTTAAACTGATATTTGACATTTCCTGACTCGAACTATCCACCTGTCCGTGTCTCTCTTAAGTTTAAAAACTTCTATCAGGTTGCCCCTCAGCCCCTGAAGCTCTAGCAAAAACAATCCAAGTTTGTCCAACCTCTCCTTATAGCTAGAACACTCCAATCCAGGCAACATCCTGGTAAGAGATAGTAGGAACTGCAGATGCTGGAGAATCTGAGATAACAAGGTGTAGAGCTGGATGAACACAGCAGGCCAAGCAGCATCAGAGGAGCAGGAAGGCTGATGTTTCGGGCCTAGACCCTTCTTCTGAACCCTCTCTAAACTCTCCACATCCTACCTACAGTGTGGGGACCAGAACTACATACGACACTCCAAATGCGGCCTAACCAAAGCTTTGCGCAAGCTGCAGCAGGACTTGCCAACTTTTATACTCAATACCCTGACCGATGAAGGCAAGCATGCCGTACACCTTCTTTGCCACCTTGTCCACTGTGTTGCCACTGTCAGGGAGCTATGGACTTGTATCCCAAGATCACTCTTTATATTAAGGCTTCTATGGGACCTGGCATTTACTGTATATATTCCGGTTGCATTTGACCTCCCAAAATGAAGCACCTCGCACTTATCCGGATTAAACTCCATCTGCCTAAATTTCTGTGCCCAACTTTCCAACTGACCTATATCCTGCTGCATCCTTCAACAACCTTCCTCACTATCCACAACTCCACCAATTTTCACATCGTCTGCAAACCTTACTAATCAGACTGATGACGTTTTCATCTAAATCATTTATACAAACATCAGAGGTCCCAGCACTGACCCTTGTGAACACCACTGCTCCGATACCTCCAGTCAAGAAGCACCCCTCTCCAAATACCCTCTGTCTTCTCTGACCAAGCCAACTTACTAACTCACAGTGGGAAGTGACTTAATCTTCTGGACCAGCTTATTGTGAGGACCTTGTCAAATGCTTTAGTAAAGTCCTTGTAGATGACATCCATTGCCCTACCCTCATCAATCATCCTCATTACTTCTTTAAAAACCACAAACAACTTTATGAGACAAGACCACCCCGCACAGCACCGTTCTGACCATCCCTAATACATCGATATTTTTCCAAATATGAGTAAATCCTATCCCTAAGAATCTTTTCCCAATAATTTCCCTGCCACTGATGTAAGGCTGACTGGCCTGTAAATTCCTGGATTACCCCTGTTGCCTTCTGTAAATAAAGGAACAACATTGGCTATTCTCCAGTCTCCTGGGACTTTGCCTGTGGCTAAAGAGGATACAAAGATCTCTGTCAAGGTCCCAGCAATCTTCTCCCACGCCTCCTCCAGCATTCTGGGATAGATCCCATCAGATCCTGAGGACTTCTCTACTTTAGATAACAAGATGTAGAGCTGGATGAACACAGCAGGCCAGGTAGCATCAGAGGAGCAGGAAAGCTGATGTTTCAGGTCGGGACCCTTCTTCAGAATTTGACCTCCCAAAATGCAGCACCTTACACTTATCCAAACTAAACTCAATCTGCCATTTCTCTGCCCAACTTTCTGAAGAAGGGTCCAGACCCGAAACATCAGCCTTCCTGCTCCTCTGATGCTGCCTGGCCTGCTGTGTTCCTCCAGCTCTACACCTTGTTATCTCAGATTCTCCAGCATCTGCAGTTCCTACTATTTGTGACTTATCTACTTTAATGTTTTTCGAGACATCCAACACCACCTCCTTAATTTCAACATGCTATAGAATGTCAACATACCCCGTCCTAATCTGATCATCATCCATGTTCTTCTCCTTAGTGAATACTGATGCAAGGTACGTTTTTAGGACCTCACCCACTTCCCCTGGCTCCATGCATAAATTCCCTTCTTTGACCTGGAGTGGACCTAACCTTTCCCTATTTACCCTCTTGCTCCTAAGGTATGTATAAAATGCCTTGGGATTCTCCGAAATCCTACATGCCAAGCACATTTCATATCCCTCCTATTTCCTCCTTCAAGTTCTTTCCTGTTTGCTTTATATTCCTCATGGGCCTTGTCTGACTTCACTTTCCTAAACCTTACTTATGCTTCATTTTCCCTTTTGACTAAACTGTCAATATCTCTTGTCATCTGTCAGTGTGGAGTTTGCATATTCTCCCCGTGTCTACGTGGGTTTCCTCCGGGTGCTCCAGTTTCTTCCCACAGCCCAAAGATATGCAGATTAGGTGGATTGGCCATGGGAAATGCAGGGTTACAGGGATAGGGTGAGGGGAGTTGGGACAGGGTAGGGTGCTGTTCGGAGGATCATTGTGGTCTTAATGGGCTGAATGGCCTGCTTCCGTACTGTAGGGATTCTGTGATGCAGGGTTTCTGAAAAATGTTATCATTAATCCCCACAGGAATATACTGGTCCTGAACTCTGATGAACTGGCCTCTAAAAGACTTCCACATGTCATACGTAGGTTTACCCTCAAACAACTGCTCCAATCTAATTTCTTCAGTTCCTGCCTAATACTGTCATAATTAGCCATCCCCCAGTTTAGCACTTTAACCTAAGGACCAATCGTCTTCTATCCATTACTATCTTAAAACTTATGGAATTATGATCACTGTTCTCTAAGTGCTCCCCACTGAAACTTTGATCACCTGGCCAGGCTCATTCCCCATATATGATCTAGTACGGCCCCTTCCCTTCACCTACATGTTGTTTCGTGAATCCCTCCTGGATACAAATTCTGCCCCATCTAAACCCCTGGCAATAAGGAAGTACCAGTCGATATTGGGGAAGTTAAAATCACCATCTACAACAATCTTGTTTTTACATCCTTCCATGATCTGCTTACATATCTGTTCCTCTATCTCCTGCTGGCTATTTGGAGGCTTATAGTATAACCCCACCATAGTGACTGCACCTTTTTTAGTCCTGGCTTCTACCCCTATTGCCTTACTGGACGAGCCCTCCGAGATGTCCTTCCTTAGTGTGGCTGTGAACTTCTCCTTTATTAGTAATGCAACTCCTCCACCCCTTTTTACATCCCTCTCTATCACGCCTGAAACATCTAAAACCTGGAACGTCAAGCTGCCAGCCCTGCCCTTTCCTCCATCAAATTTCTTTAATAACTACAGCATTATAGTTCATGTACTAATCCCGGCCACAGGCTCATCTACCATACCCGTTATACTCCTTGCATTGGAATAAATACTCCTCAGACCATGAGTCCTGCAATGTTCATTTACCCAGTCAGCATGGATTCACTGAAGGGAAATCATGCATGACCAATCTTCTGGAATTTTTTGAGGATGTGACCAGTAGAATGGACAAGGGTGAATCAGTGGATGTTGTGTATCTGGACTTTCAAAAGGCTTTTGACAAGATTCCACACAAGAGCTTAGTAAGGAAGATTAAAGTTCATGGTATCAGGGGTAGTGTATTGACGTGGATAGAGACAGGAAGCAGAGAGTTAGAATAAACAGGTCCTTTTCAGAATGGCAGGCAGTGACGAGTGGGGTACCACAGGGTTCAGTGCTGGGACCCCAGCTCTTCACAATAAATATTAATGATTTGGACGAAGCAATTAAATGCTGTGTTTCAAAATTTACAGACGCCATTGAGCTGGGTGGCAGTGTGTGCTGTGAGGAAGATGCTAAGAGGCTGCAGAGAGAGTTCGATAGACTGGTTGAGTGGGTAAATACTTGGCAAATACAATATAATGTGGATAACTGTGAGCTTATCCACTTTGGTCACAAAAACAGGAAGGCAGGTTATTATCTGAATGGTGGCAGTTCAGGAAAAGGGGAGGTGCAATGAGACCTGGGTGTCATGGTGGAACAGTCGCTGAAAGTTGGCACATAGGTGCAGCAGGCAGCGAGGAAAGCGAATGGCATGCTGGCCTCCGTAGCGAGAGGGTTTGAGTATCGGGAGTAGGGATGTCTTGCTGCAGTTATACAGGGCTTTGGTGAGACCGCACCTGAGTATTGTGTGTAGTTTCGGTCTCCTAGTCTGAGGAAGGACGTTTTTGCTATTGAGGGATTCCAGCAAAGGTTCACTAGACTGATTCCTGGGATGGCAGGACTGACATGTGAGGAAAGACTGAATCAACTGGGCTTGTACTCACTGGGATTTAGAAGAACGGAGAAGGGGGAGATCTCAAACAAAATCCTGATAGAACTGGACAGACTAGATGTGGGAAGAATGTTCCCGATGTTGGGGAAGTCCAGAACTAGGGGTCACAGTCTAAGAATAAAGGGGTAAGCCATTCAGGAGTGAGATAAGGAAGAATTTCTTCACTCAGAGAGTTGTGAACCTGTGGAATTCTCTCCCACAGGAAGCTGTTGGGCCCAGTTCATTAGATATATTCAAGAGGGAACTAGACATGGCCCTGGCGGGATCAAGGGGTATAGGGAGAGGGCGGGATTGGGATACTGAGATTGTATGATCGGCCAGTATCGAAGGGCCAAATGGCCCACTCCTGCACCTTGTTTCTTTGTAACCTGTCCCTGCCTGTTCTTCCTATTAGACTGATGACTCAGCATCAGCTTTCTCTTCAATCACTTCACACACTGACCCAATGTTCTGGTTCCCCCCCCCCCCCCGCCACACTAATTTAAACCCTCCCCCCTCCTCCAGTGGCACTGGCACACCTCAGTAGTGACCTTGAGGGGTCCCTGTTGCCCAGGACACCGGGGGGAAGCATCCCTTCCCTTCTGGAATTCCTACCATTGGGTGTGTCACAAACCCCCAAGTCTCTGTGGGAAGCTGAGCCCCTGCGATTGTACAGTCCCTTCTCCCTGGGAGTTTAACTCTCTCCTGTCCAGCAGCAGGGCAGGGTGTGGGCTGTGCTGCCTCTGGGAGACTGTGACTCACAATTTAACCCAATACACAGCCGTACGGCTGGAGGAACCTCTCTGAACGGACACCCTTCGATGTGGAGACTATTGCGGAGAATAAGCAGATTGTCACCGTAGCACTTCCCACTATTAAATGGGATACATCTGGAGCTCAGTCAGCCAGATCTGTCCCACAGCCCTGAAACCGTTTTAGCTTCAGATATTTATCCAGTTCTCTTGGAAGTGGTGGATTCTACCTGCTGCCTTCTGCTTGGCTCTTTATGGGCTTCAAGTGCCAATAAAGTAGCTTGCAGAGTTTGAAAGTGACTGTATGTGTAAATGTCAGTGTTCCACAGACAGCAGGGCCAGACGTTAACAGCTCAATCCAATCCAATAAATACTAGCAAGGGTTGCGATGGCCTAGTGGTATTATCGCTGGACTGTTAATCCAGAGACTTATGTTCTGGGGCCCTGGGTTCAAATCCCACCACAGCAGATGGTGAAATTTGAATCTAATAAATATCTGGAATTAAGAATCTAATGATTGTTGGAAAAATCCATCCGTTTCACTAATGCCCTTTAGGGAAGAAAACTGCCATCCTTACCTGGTCTGGCCTACATGTGACTCCAGACCCACAGCAATGTGGTTGACTCTGAATTGTCCTCTGGGCAATTAGGGATGGGCAATAAATGCTGCCTAGCCAGCGATGCCCTCATCCCGTGAATGAATAAAGAAAGAAACATAGCAGGGAACGTTTCCTTGTTCCTCTTCCAGCCAGTGCTCTATTACAGTTTGTAAACAGAAAAGACAATAGAATGAGGCAGTTTGGCTGACGTGGAGGGGGTGGGAGATAGAGATTTTAAATGCTAACCCAGTCAGTCTGCTGTACGTCTACCTGGTCTCTCTCTCTCTCTCTCCCCACAGATACAGATGTGTCATCTTTAACTTCCGGACAAATTGAACTGGTCCAGTTGGACGAAGCAAGTGAGGAATATTGCAAGATGGTGCGACATTTTTATGACACCCTGAAGGATATGCACAATAAAATCCGCATCATAAAGGTCAGGCTACAGCACTTTCCACTCCTTCCTTTGGCTCATTTGCCAGGCTTATAGCCTCACTGCATTGTGAAAGGGGCCGGGAGGGAGAGTTCACTCTCTGATGTGAGATGAGAATTCACAGCCTGAGATGTTTATGAAATTCTACACCAGAGAGCAGAGCACAAGACCATTGTCAGCAGGAATAGTGAGTAACGCTCGAGTGAAAAATGACATTGCGTAAGGCTCAGCCTCTATCAATGGGGGAGGTGTTTCCACAGATATAAAAGTAAAGTCGGTAATAGTCCCATGATATAGAAACACAGGAACAGAAGCCACTAGTTGAAATACTCAAGTGTGACAGGGGAATAGTTTGTCCCACTGATGTGTGTCTTGATACTGAAAATATTGGGCAAAGGCAGAAGTAACACAACACCAGGTTAGGGTCCAACAGAGTTTTCAGAGCGCAGCCCCTTTGTCGGGTGACGAAGATTTATTTGGAATCACAAGCTCCGAAACCTTGGGATTCGATCCCGGATCCTCGGAACTTGGGCAGCGCAGTGATAATACCAAATAAAAACCAAAAGAACTGTGGATGCTGTAAATCAGGAACAAAAACAACGTTGCTGGAAAAGCTCAGCAGGTCTGGCATCATCTGTGAAGGAGAAA